TTTTTTTTTTTTTTTTTTTTTGGCGTTACTGGCTCTCAGAGTTTGTCTTGTAAACGTTTAAGTACCCTTGGCCGATTTGGATTATTGTTTAGGACTACAAAACGTCGACGTGTTCGCTTATCGGCTTGTAAACGTCAAGTTGAATACTGTTTTTTAAGACACAGAAATAATCATTTCCTTGTTCTCCTGCCTCCTTACGGCATACCGTGGTGGTCTGCAGTTCAGCATCCTATATGGCTTATGCCCAGGATGGATAACGATGCAAACCCGTGATTTTTGTGCTCTCTTCCTCATACTGGAGAAAATGAAATTACCTTAGAATAAAGGCCCATTATATGGGTCGGGCAAAGAAGATTCTGGCTCCTATAATGTGCTTTCCCCATCTTATGCGCCAATAAAAAAGATTTTTTCTTTTCTGAGAAGCCTAACATGCTTCTGAACCATTGCGTAACGACCCGACGGCCTGATCTTAGATTGAACCTCTTTTTTTCTTGTGATTTTAGGCTGCAGGTTACCCTAAGGCATACTTCATGTGGGTCCCCAATACTGCTGGACTACGCTGAGTTATGACCTTCAGAAAAAACTGAAAACTGGGGCCTCACTTTTGATTGAAACAGTCGCAGACCAAGCTTTACAGCTCAGTTTTACTTTACCTACTTCCAGAAACAGCTGAATCACTTTTCAGCTTTTATACACAAGAACTTTGTACTCGGTTTTCCCAAATGGAGGTTACTGTAATGAACGTAAGCGTGTTGTCTGGTCTGTGGAACAAGGACGCCCCAGTGTTTTGCATGAAAGCACTTGAGCTTAACTGAAAACTTTTTCTGCATTTTAATGAAAATTCAATGAAGTGACAGGGCAGGATGTATTAAGGTAAAGTATAGGTTGGTAATCCCAAACAAAAAAATTTAAAGGCGCTTTTAAGGGTGGTGCTTGCGTATAGCATTCCATCGTTGCTTTTTTTTTTGACAGGGGGTCGGAATTTCTACCGCATATATTTCAAAAAGAAGAACATTTCCTAAAAACTTATAGAAAATGTTTTTTAGAGCTTTACCAAGAACTTGCTGCATGCAACTTTCTAATCGTAAAAGACCCCAAGTTGATATGAGGGCCAAGCCGTAAAGATTAGTCTTTCGGTAAACAACTGTTTGAAACATAGGCTCACACAGAGAAAGGAATTTTGCCAAAATTCCTTTTTAAAGGCCTTTGTTTTCCCGCGGACCAAAAAAAATTATGTTTAATAATGGAATAATCGGTTGATTGCACTATTAAGAAACTTTTGGTTTGTTGGTACGCTACTTTCATTGTAGGTTTTTATTAATTCTTCAAATTCTGTTCCTTAACATTGCTATTTTTTGGTTTGTCTTCCTGTAAAGCTGACAATGAGATTGTCTCTTAACCTTAAGAGAGTTTTGATAGTCTTGTTTTTGCATCAGTCAAGCTCCTGGAGCAGCACCCCGTCTTTACGCAAATCGTTTTTAGTGAGAAGTTTTTGCTGAACTTGTTTCACCTTTGGTTCAAATTGGGGTTGTTTGTCTAAAATTTCAAAGTAATATGATTGTTGAACAAGTAACATTGCAACGTAGTTTTCCTTTTTTATTTTAAATTCGTTCTAGGTGAACATTGGTTGTCCCGCTTTTATGATACTTCTTAACTAAAGACTCTCGCGGAATCATTCGCTTTAGAGAACATTTTGGAGTGTTTTTTTTATTTTTTGGAAGATGCGAGAAATCACAGACGGGATTATATCTGTAGTACGGGAACTTGACTGAACTGTCCTGTGACTGGTTTGGTGAGGTACTTAGAGCTGATGAACTGAAAGTCTGGTCTAAGCTAGTCGTTTAAAAAGGGACACTGGGAGTTGGACTTAGAAGAGAGAATGTTTTTATCACATAGGTTTTTTTCGCTGCAAAATTACAGCGTTCTTCTTTTTTTCTTGGCTCTGGGGGCTAAGACATGGTAGGCCTCCGAGATCCCTGAATTTCCTGTGTGCTTGGATTGGCAGACCCAGAAATCACTGTCCAGTAAGACATTTTTTTCATTTGGGAGTAATCTGATTAGCTGAGGGATTTACTGTGGTTGAGCGAACTCACATTTTTAATGATTTTTTTTAG